TGATGTTGTTTATGATGATGATGTTTTTGTTGTTGATGATGTTGATGTTTTTGTTGTTGGTGATGTTGTTGATGGTGATGTTGATGATGATGTTGTTTTTGTTGATGATGATGTTGTATATGATGATGTTGTTTTTGCTGTTGATGATGATGATGTTTTTGTTGTTGATGTTTTTGTTGTTGATGATGTTGTTGGTGATGGTGTTGATGTTGGTGATGATGTTGGTGATGTTGATGATGGTGTTGATGATGTTGATGTTGTTGTTTTTGTTGATGATGTTGGTGGTGATGATGATGTTTATGATGATGGTGTTGATGATGTTGATGATCATGTTGTTGATGATGTTGATGATGATGTTGTTTATGATGATCATGTTTTTGTTGTTGATGATGTTTTTGTTGTTGACAATGATGATGTTGTTGACGATGATGATGTTGTTGATGAAGATGATGATGTTGTTGACGATGATGATGTTTTTGTTGATGATGTTGATGATGTTGTTGTTGATGTTTTTGTTGATGATGTTGATGTTGTTGGTGTTGATGATGTTGTTGATGTTGTTGGTGTTGATGATGATGTTGTTTATGATGATGATGATGTTTTGTTGTTGTTGATGTTGATGATGATGTTGTTGTTTATGATGATGTTTTTGTTGTTGTTGATGTTGATGATATTTTTGTTGATGATGATGTTGATGATGTTGATGTTTTTGTTGATGTTGTTGACGATGATGATGTTGTTGATGATGTTGATGATGTTGTGGGACAGAATCCGGTTCATGGTGGTGAGCGAGCCTCCAGAGGAAGAGGAGCAGGAGAGGGAGTGTGAGGACGTCGGGGTGGCCTTCATCAGGATCCCTGAGATCCTGGAGAGACAACAAGACCTGACTGAGACCAGCCTGGAGGGTCTGCACACACACACACACACACACACACAGAGAGACACACACACACACACACACACACACACACACACACACACACACACACACACACACACACACACACACACACACACACACACACACACACACACACACACACACACACACACACACACACACACACACACACAGACAGACAGACAGAGACACACAGACACACATGCACACATACAGAGACACACATGCACATATATAGAGACACACATACAGAGACACACACACACACAGACAGATAGCTCTCAAATGAAGCCATGTGTCCTGCAGTGTTGGACGTGGAGGACAGCAGCCAGGTGGTCGGCAGTCTGACTGTGACTGTGGAGGGACTGGAGGCTCTGCAGGCCATCATGGAGGACCAGGACCTGGAGCAGGACCACGAGCGAACTCTGGTCTGCTCTCTGCTTCCATCAGCATGAGGCAACAACACCGACACTACTGACACTGAAGTCTATTTCCTTCAGATTTGTTATGGAGAAGATATCTACAGACATGTTTTAAGCCTCAGGGAACTCTGAGAACAAATAAAATATCTCAACAACTATGGGATGGATTATCATGACATTCTGTACCATCATTCATGTCCCCCAGAGGATGAATTGCTCATAGAGCAGCGTGGACGTATATTATATTCAGTTCAGTGTCTATATTTCACATTGAAACAGTCTTTTAAACCAGATTCAGCCGGGTTTTTACTGTAAACGTAGACATTTTTAAACCTTTAAATCAACAAATTAACTCTTAAAATGAAGAAGCTCCGGTGAAACGGTTCAGGTTAGCAGCCACCGCGTGGACGTCTATTTATCTCACGTAAAATGATCTATTGTTAAATGTGAAAATGGTTTAAAGTTTGTACACTGCAGTTATTTAACGTGTATTCTTCACACAGAAGGGATCACGTTTACTGTAGCTCAGGTTTATCCCTGATGTTTGCTATTGTGCTCTAATAAAGAGGGTTTCTACACGTTTAACTTCATGAACATGATTGATTCACTCTCTCTGTATGCTTAAGGTGAAGCTACAAGCAGCTGCTGATTAGCTTAGCATAAAGCCTGGGAAACAAAGACACAGGGGAACAGCTAAATTTAAATTTATTAAACTATATTGATCCCTTTAAGGGGGAAATTTGTCTCTGCATTTGACCCATCCCTGTATATAGGGAGCAGTGGGCTGCCAATGACAGGCACCTGGGGAGCCTGGGGCTCACTGTATTGCTCAGGTACACTTCGACACATGACACATCCCAATCGAGGCTCGAACTGTTGACCTTCCGGTTCCCAGACAACCCTCTTAACCCAGTGAGCCATGGTCTCCCTAGCTTAGCATGACGCATAGCATAAAGCCTGGGAACAAGGAGGAATAGCTAGCTTAGCACAAAGACTAGATACAAGCTTAGCATAGAATAATGACTGGAATAAACTATGAACAGCTAGCTTAGCATAGCGTAAAGACTGTAAACAAGAGGAACTGCTAGCTTAATTTAGCATAACTAGAAAAAAGGGAAAAGTCATCATAGCTTAGCATGAAGACATGAAACATTATCGCTAGTATCTGAACCCTGTGTGGTCTGGTTCTGGTTCTGGTTTGGTCTGGTTCTGGTCTGGTGTGGTTCTGGTCTGTGTCCCCATCTCTGCTGCAGTGTCCCGGTTCGTCCACAGAGATGTTCAGCGTGAGGACGTCAGCTGCAGCTGACAGAGAAGAGGAAGAGGAGGCGATGAAGAGGAGCACAAGCATCAGACTCGGTGGATGAAACGGAATCGTCTCTCAGCAGGTAAAATATGATTCTATTTCATCTTTATTTAAAACAAGGAGACTCAATGAATCTTCTTCACGTCTTAGTTTAAATGTTCTCTACTTGCTCTCATATCTCAGTGAAGTGAATATTTAAACATTTAATTCTGTTTGTTGGTGTTTGATCAGGAAAAGAATCAGCAAACTAATAATAGAGATGTTAGTTTTTATGTGTATTCACACTTTATTATTTTAATAAATCATAAACGGTGAGCTGTGTTTTCATCACACGGAGGATATTTAATATGTTCAGTTAATCTGCTGGATGAACTCTGTAGACTTCAGCTGTTCATGACGCTTTGACTGCAGATAAAGATCTGAGAGCACGTAAAGTTACATATATTCATATTAATAATAATAATAAAGATCTGAGAACACATAATGTTTACATATATTCATATTAATAATAATAAAGATTTGAGAGCACGTAAAGTTTACATATATTCATATTAATAATAATAATAAAGATCTGAGAACACATAATGTTTACATATATTCATATTAATAATAATAAAGATCTGAGAACACATAATGTTTACATATATTAATAATAATAAAGATTTGAGAGCACGTAAAGTTTACATATATTCATATTAATAATAATAATAAAGATCTGAGAACACATGTTTACATATATTCATATTTATAATAATAAAGATCTGAGAGCACGTCGGCTGATTTTGTGTTTTATTACATCATTCAAGTTTATTTCAATTTTTGAAGTAACTCAAGTAAAAGGTACAATATTTACCTCCGAGATGTGGTGAAATACTCAAGCACAGTACAAGTATCTTATAATAGTATTCCAGTACTTGAGTAAATGTACTTAGTCAGATAATGAAGGTGAAGATCTTCCTCTGTTTCCTCTGATCAGTCTGTCCGTAGTACTCATCATGTGTGTAGTACTGCAGTACTACAGCAGTACTACAGTAGTACCACCGCAGTACTACAGCAGTATTACAGCAGTACCACCGCAGTATTACAGCAGTACTACCGCAGTACTATGCAGTATTACAGCAGTACCACAGCAGTACTACAGCAGTACTACAGCAGTACCACCGCAGTACTACCGCAGTACCACCGCAGTCCTACCGCAGTATTACCGCAGTACTATGCAGTACTACCGCAGTACTACCGCAGTATTACCGCAGTATTACAGCAGTACTACCGCAGTACTATCGCAGTACTATGCAGTACTATGCAATACAATGAGCAGTATAAGGAGCAGTACAGTGAGCAGTACAATGAGCAGTACTATGCAGTATAAGGAGCAGTACAGTGAGCAGTACAATGAGCAGTACTATGCAGTATAAGGAGCAGTACAATGAGCAGTACTATGAGCAGTACAGTGTGTTGTCCTCCAGCAGCATGAGTGTGGACGAGGACGCCCGCTGGCTGGACTGGGTCACCAAACAGTTTGAGAGCATCGCTGGAGACGACCAGGAGATCGACATCAACGAGTTCAAGACGGCTCTGAACGTCAAAGAGGTCAGAGCGAGTACTGCTGTAATAAATACATTAGAGGACGACAAGTACTACTGTAATGAATACATCAGAGTAGTACAAGTACTAATACAATAAATACATCAAATGATTCATTTGGCCCATAAGTCTGATGTCTGCTTCTTTGAGACATTATTACAAAACATCAATGTTACCGATGTGTACTTTTATGTACTTTATATACACTCACATATTTTAGTCCAGAGGGTCTCAACCTAGGGGTCGGGCCCTTCCAGACAGTCACCAGATAACTCCGAGGGGTCCTGACGCGATTAATGGAAGAGAAGAAGAAGAAAACGAAGCGATTTAATCTTTAATCAGGTTAATATTTTATATATTAATAGTTCCATATAAATAAACGTTAATTCACTATCTGTCCCTGATTGAGCAATCCACTGATGAAAGTATTTTAATATTTATAAATTTGCAAAAAAGTCTCCACACACAATAAAAGGAACTATTTAGACAACTGTGAAAACTTAAATCTCGTGTATCAGAAAGAACTCACGGACACAATAAACTCTGGTTCCTGGTCAAGAAGTGTTGTATTGTGTGTTTTTTTTCTCTGCAGTCGTTCTTCGCCGAGCGTTTCTTCGCTCTGTTCGACTCTGACGGAAGCAGCTCCATCAGTCTGGACGAGCTGCTGAAGGCTCTGAACCTCCTGATCCACGGCAGCGAGACGGACAAGCTGAAGTTCCTGTTCCAGGTCTACGACGTGGATGGTAACGAAAACCACCAGAACACATCAGAGAAATGTGTTCTAAACCTGCATTCTCTCTAGTGTCCACCAGGGGGCGACTCCTCTGGTTGTATAGAAGTCTATGAGAAAATGACTCTACTTCTCTCTTGATTTATTACCTCAGTAAACATTGTAAACATGAGTTTATGGTCTCAATCTCTAGTTTCAAGTCTTCTTCAATACAGCATGATGTTCATTTAGTACATTATGGTCCATTTAGAGTCAAACAGACCATAAAGCAGGGGATGCTTTAGGGCGGGGCTACACGGTGATTGACAGGTCTCTACAAGAGACGTATACTGCGTCTCTACGTCACTCTGCCTCAGTCCAGATATGGTCACTTCCTGTTCACTGGTTGGAGAAAAACCAAGATGGCGATGGACAAATCGCCGAACTTGAGGCTTCAAAACATCGGTCTACAAACCAATGAGAGAGACGTCATGATGACTACGTTCACTTCTTATTTACAGATTCTAAGCTAATACTCACTAGAGCACCACATGTGGATTAAACAAAGTCACTATTTACTCCAGGTTGTTTGATAAAAACTCCGTCACTAAAGAAGTCTCCTCGTTCAGTTAATTATATTGATTTTTTCTCGTAGGCAGCGGTTCGATCGATCCAGACGAGCTGCGGACGGTCCTGAAGTCGTGTCTGCGTGAGAGCGCCATCTCTCTGCCGGAGGAGAAGCTGGATGACTTGACGCTGGCGCTGTTCGAGTCGGCCGACAAAGACAACAGCGGATCGATCACCTTCGAGGAGCTCAAAGCTGAGCTGGAGAACTTCCCAGAGGTGATGGAGAACCTCACCATCAGGTAGGACAACACCAACAGTTACTCCTGTTGTTCGTTAGTCCTGTTGTTCGTTAGTCCTGTTGTTCGTTAGTCCTGTTGTTTGCAACATTTGTTCCTGTTATTTATCCCCCCCCCTCAGCGCTGCTAACTGGCTGAAGCCTCCTGAGGAGGAGCAGAAGAAGCGAGGAGCTCCTCGTTACCTGACGAGAGCTTACTGGCTGAACAACAGCAGGAAGTTGTTCTTCTTGTGTCTCTACTCCTTCCTCAGTCTGCTCCTCTTCATCACGGCCATGATGCAGCACAGACACGGGGGGGGCTGGTTCATGGTGGCTAAAGGCTGTGGACAGTGTCTCAACTTCAACTGTACCTTCATCATGGTAGGAGGGACAGGACGGGAGGAAGGAGACAGAGGAGAGAGGAGACGGGGGGACAGAGGGGAGAGGAGACAGAGGTAGGAGACAGGACTGAGGAGACAGAGGACACAGGACAGAAGAGACAGGACTGAAGAGACAGAGGACAAAGGACTGAGGAGATACATGACAGAGGAGACAGGACTGAGGAGACTGAGGAGACAGGACTGAGGAGACAGGATCGTTTTTTTAAGGAAACCAACAGAAACAGCAGATCAGTAATCAATAATCAGCTCTGAAGAAGAAGTTCAAACCATCGTGTCTCACGTTGTGGTTAGTGTCTCGTCTCTGAAGACGTGTCCTCTGTCCTCTGTCTTGTCCTCTGCCCTGTCCTGTCCTCAGGTGCTGATGCTGCGTCGCTTCCTCACCTGGCTGAGAGCCACCTGGGTGGTGAGGGTCTTTCCTCTGGACCAGAACATCCTGCTGCACCAGATCGTGGGCTACGCCATCCTCTGCTACACACTTGTCCACACCACCGCACACGTCTTCAACTTCGGTAATATATCTATATTATTAATAATATGTAATATGTATATTATATTATTAATAATATACTGTATAATATGTGTGATCCAGTGCAGCTGTCTCAGAGTGGACAGTACCAGCTGTGGGAGTACCTGCTGACCACCAGACCGGGGATCGGGTGGGTGAAGGGTTCAGCCTCTCTGACCGGAGTCGTTCTCCAGCTGGTGATCTGTCTCATGGTCCTCTGCTCCTCCACCTTCGTGAGGCGCAGCGGACACTTTGAGGTGAGGGGGGGGTCCTCAGACCATGTGTCTTCTGTCCTCAGGTGTTCTCCTGGTCTCAGACCATGTGTCCTCTGTCCTCAGGTGTTCTCCTGGTCTCAGACCGTGTGTCCTCTGTCCTCAGGTGTTCTCCTGGTCTCAGACCGTGTGTCTTCTGTCCTCAGGTGTTCTCCTGGTCTCAGACCGTGTGTCTTCTGTCCTCAGGTGTTCTACTGGTCTCACTTGTCCTACGTGTGGGTCTGGTCTCTGCTGATGGTCCACTGTGCCAACTTCTGGAAGTGGTTCGTGGTTCCTGGTCTCCTCTTCCTGCTGGAGAAGATCGTAGGCCTGGCGGTGTCTCGTATGGGAGGTCTTTACGTCGTGGAAGTCAACCTGCTGCCCTCCAAGGTGAGTCACAGAACTGAGTGATGTAACACATTAACACACAATGAATCAATGACAGTGTGTGTGTGTGTGTGTGTGTGTGTGTCTCAGGTGACTCACCTGGTGATCAAACGTCCTCAGTTCTTCCATTTCAAACCTGGAGATTACGTTTACATCAACATCCCGACAATCGCCAAGTACGAGTGGCACCCGTTCACCATCAGCAGTGCTCCGGAGCAGTCAGGTACACACACATACACCCACACACATGTGTGTATATGTGTGTGTGTATATGTGTGCGTGTATATGTGTGCGTGTATATATATCTGTGTGTGTATATATATATGTGTGTATATATATACACATACATATATATATACACACACACATATATATATATGTATATGTATATATATATATATGTGTATATATATACACACATATATATATACACACACAGATATATATACACGCACACATATACACGCATATATATACACACATATATATACACATATATACACATATACTGATGGTCAGCTTTAACACTTGAAGGTTTGACTTCTGGTTAAAGTAGTTTCCTTCGACCTTTGACCTCCAGAGAGTCTGTGGCTTCACATCCGTTCGATGGGTCAGTGGACGAACCGTCTGTACGAGTACTTCAGACAACCAGAGGACCAGGAGGTCAGTCCTAAGAGACTAGCAGCCAGTCTGAGGACCAGGAGACAGAGGATGAAGGACCAGGTCACACACAGACTCACACACACACACACACACACACACTCACACACACACACTCGCACACATGCATACATACATACACTCAAACACACACAGACTCTCACACTCACAGGTTGTGTGTCCTCTTCACAGGAGGACTTGTTCAGCTCCACTAACTGTAACGGAGCCGTAGCCTCTAATGAGAACGACGCCGTCCAGCTGATGATGTACCGTCAGAACGGGTCCTGGTCCGACGTGGTCCCGGTCCCCCCGACATCTGGATCCCAGGACCCGGTGGAGCCTCTTGCAGATGGCCTGGAGCCGGCAGAGAGAGGAGAGGCTCCTCCAATCAGAGACCAGGTCCAGACCAACGACCTCAGTGTTCAGAGATCTCTTCTTCTTCTTTCTGTTTCTAACAATCTGATTTACAAATGCAGGTTTCTGCCAAGTTTGGTGAGAATCACAGATTCTGTAACATCAAG